GATTAGGTAAAGTAGATCGGTTTGGTAGATTAGATAGATTAGATAGATTGGGTAGAGTAGATTGGCTAGATTAGATGGATGAGGTAGAGTAGGTAGATTAGACAAAGTAGATGGGTTAGATCTATTGGATAGACTGGATTGATGTAAAAGGATGGAGAGGTTAGATAGATTAGATAGATTAGATAGATTAGATTCAGGGTTTTACTGATTAGATCGATTAGAGCCTAGCGTAAATGGGATAGCCGTAGGCAAATTAGATTAGATTTGGTTAGATTAGATTAGATTGGTTTAGACTAGTTCAGATTAGATTAGAGTGAAGTAGAGTAGAGTAGATTAGATGGTTAGCAAGATAAATAAATTGGAACGAATAGAGCGAATAGAAAGAATGGACAACTAGATAGATAAATCACAGACTTGCTGATACACTACTTAAGTATGTGCACGCAGACTTGCTGCTACGCTACTGGCTCGTCTGTTGCACGTGCATCTGCTACGCTACTTGCTCTTCTTTTGCTGCGCAGGCTTGCTGCTTTGCTACTGGCCTGCGCGTATAATTAGCACTGATGTGTATGGCTAAATTCCCCGAAATGTACGAAATGTGGATGGCAGACACCCGGCCACCCAGCCACCCGGCCACCCGGCCACCCGGCCACCCGGCCACCCGGCCACCCAACCACCCGGCCACCCGGCCACCCGGCCACCCGGCCACCGACGACACACCCGACCACTGGCCACGGCCACCGGCCATCCGGCCAGCCGGCCATCCGGCCAGCCGGCTATCCCAACCACCCAGCCGGCCACGGCCACGGCCACGGCCACGGCCACGGCCACGGCCACGCACGGAAAAAAAGCAATCCTCCCACTCTTGAGACTCGGACTCGGAGAGAAAAACAATAATTTAAGTTTCTTGTGTTTGAAAAACCCTTTGGGCAACCTCAAAACACACAGTTTTGTAGATAAGATTGGAGAATCATCTGGCCGTCAGGGGTCGTGGAAAAGCATGTTTGTATTTAGCTAATTTCAAGAGCAATGAAGACCATGTTTTCTATTGGGTTTATGACGTAAGGTGCGGAGGGGGTCTTGCTAAGGGCTTTAGACAAGTACGGGACGCTTGGTACGGGTTTGGGTGCGGGTACGGGTGCCGGTACGGTACAGGCACAGGTACGATATGGGGACGTTACGAGTACGATACATGGGTACGGTCGGTAACCGTACCCATGTACCGTACACATGTACCGTACCGACCGTACCCATGTATCGTACCCGTACCGTCCCCATATCGTACCTGTACCGTACCCGCGCCCGTACCCGCACCCAAACCCGTACCAACCGTCCCGTACCTATCATTTGGCATATCGTCCTACCTCCAAAAATGCCACTAGAGCACTGCTCTTGAAATTAGCTAAGTTTGTATTATTCTATTTGAAATGTTTCTGGGAAAGCTTCACGACAATGGATTTCGCACATAAAATTGGAGAATTTGGGCTGTTAGGGTGTTGCCGGGACAATATAGTTGAATATACTATGAATAAATGATCTTGGGAAAGTTTCAAAACAGTCAGTTTTGCACGTAAAATAGGAGAATATCTGGGACGTCGCGGTTGGTGCAAAAATAATATATTTGAATATTTTCTATTTGAACCGCCTTTGGGGAACATAAAAACACCAAGTTTTGAAAATAAAAGTGGAGAATCAGGGCTGTCAGGGGTGTTGCAAAAACAATCTAGTTGAATATCTTATTCTTGCACCACCCCGGGCAATTTGAATATCCTCAATTTGAATGGACAGTTTCAAGGCACTCGGTTTTGCAGATAAAATTGGAAAATCTGAGGATAATATAGTTATACTAGGGTCGGCCCGCTGTTTCCAACAGCGGAGGATTACGATAGGAATAAGAGTCGATATATTTAAGATGTAAATTTTTAAAGTTGGTATAATTTGAAATAACATTATTTATTTAAAATAATGACTCATAACTTGCATCCTGCAGGAGCGGCTGCTCGTTGCACACTGCAGTTTCCAAGCTTGCGGCGGACTAGATAGAATAAGGCACAAGCGCAGTCCCAAAAAATATCAGGGTATCAATCCGGATACTCTATGGTGTTATATGTTAAATTCGGTGCAGCTGCACTGACTCACAAACCGGGATTCTCGACGCTGCAACGAATCATGACCCATGAGAGCTCAGGGAGGGGGAAAAAACAATATAACGGATATGTCTGGGCACTGTTAAGGGAAAAAAACCGTATGTGCAAAGTTAAGGTTTCAAACCTAAAATATCTAGGAAGTCAGGCCGGGCCTTGCTAACAGCGGCAACCGTGAGAAAGAAACAAACAACCAGGGAATTGTCACTATCAATCCCAAGCTGCGACATGACAACGCAGTCCGTCGTTAAATAAGGTGTCTGACCCTGAAGCGAAGTAAGAAATTGAGGAGAGAGCTAGTCCCAGCCTTGCCGACGAGCGCACGCCCCACAAAGAAAAGAGCATGAATATGGGTAGTCGACAATACCAGTCGGAAACCCGCGACCCTTCACGTACTACCAAATGCTTCCCAAACCGGTTTCCCAAACCGGTTTCCCAAAACTGCGCCCCGAAAGCCGTTCCCGAAAGGCGTCATCGAAAGCTGCTCCCCAAAGCTGTTCCCGAAATCTGCTCTCCAAAGCTGGTTCCCGAATCTGCCCCAGAGCTGCCCTCCAAAGGCCCAAAGCTGGTCCCCAAAACTGTTCCCAAAAGTGCTCCCGAAAGCAGCTCCCCAAAGCTGCTCAAAGTTGCTATTGAAAACTGCTTCCCGAAGTTGCTTCCCAAAGCTGATCCCCAGCGCTGCTCCCCAAAACTATGCCCCAAAAGTGTTTTCCAAAACTGTTCCTCCAAAGCTGCGATTCTGCAAACCTGTTCGCCCAAGCGGTTCCCCAAAGCCATTCTGCAAAGCGGTTCCCGGAAAACTGCGCCCCAAAATTGCTACCAAAATCTGCTCCCCAAAGCTATTGTTTACTGTTCTTCAAGGCGATTGTTCGGCAAAGTTGTTCCGGAAAGCTGGCCAAAACTGTGGCCCCCAAAACCTGCTCCACAAAGCTGCTCCCCAAAGCTGCTCCCCAAAGCTGCTCACCAAAACGGTTCCCCGCAGCTGCTTCCCAAAATTGTTCCCCAAAGCACTGCCGCAAAGCGGTTGCCCCAAAGCTGCTATGATCCAAACCGGCTCCCCAACTCAGTTCCCCAAAACTTTCCAAAGCGGCTCCCGAAAGCTGCTCCGCAAAGTTGCTACCGAAAGCTGCCCCCTCAAGTTTTGTTCTGAAACTAATCCCCAAAGCTGCCCCCCAAAGTTTCAAGACTCCTGTTCGAAGCTGCCGCGCAAAGCTGCTCCTGCTTCTCAAGCTGCTCCCCGAAGCTGCGCCACAAAGCTGTTACCCAAAGCCGCTCCCCAAAGCTGTTATCGAGAGCAGCTCCGAATAGCTGCTCCCCAAAGCTGTCAAAGTTGCCACGTTGCTTTCTAAGTAATCCCCCAAGCGGCCGTTCTTCAAAGCAATTGTTCGTCAATGTTGCTGCAAGGCCGCAAAGTTGCTTCTCACAGTTGTTCCCCGAAATTTCTCTCCAAAATTGTTATCGAAAGCCGCGTCCCAAAGAAACTCCCCAAAACAGCGCGCACAACTTAAGGAAGCAAGCGCAGTGTGTCGTGCGGTAGAACGCGGTTGCAGCAAGGGGGCAGTCTCGCAGAGGCGCGTGTTTGGAAAAACGCAAAGACAATAGAGCAGAAATCAGGCAAGCAAGGGCAGTAGCTGCCAGGGGGAATCGAACCCCCAACCGTCCGTGACCGACCGTGCTGCATTTGCCCACTGGCACACTGACTCGGGAGAAGAGAAACTTTCCCCCAAAAACAATCATTTCTTTTGGGAAACGCAAAACGAAATTACCAGAAAAAATTGTGAATTTTCGACCTCCACGTAGGGGGCTCAGGAAGTACAGGCTAAATTTCTATTCGCACAACCCTAAGATGTCTTCGTGAAAATTTGAAAAGGAATGGGTTCGGGCACGCGCGCTCTGTGTGTACAACCATTTCGTAATTGTGGTACTAATAAGCATTAATTTTTGGCACTGCCTCCTGGGAAAACTTCAAGCCATCCGATTTTTAGATATATTGGCAACTTTGGATTGGCAGGGGTTGGTCAAGAATAATATATTTGAATGTTTTGTGTTTTGGGGAATGCCGTTCGGAAGCCTGAAGATACCCGGATGCGACGCAAAATTTAGGAATTTGCGTTGCCAGGGGTCGTGCAGGAATAATGTTTTTGGTCACGTCGCCCGTAGGGGCGCTGGAGTGTTGTCAGTTTTGAAATGAGCAATTTTTAAGCATTTACTCTCATTTCATTGCCCCTGCGCCAGGGACCAGCGCGACGACACCACCCGCGCCAAGCCGCCCGAGCCCTGGAAGACACACGAAACGAAACGAATGGTCCTTGGCCTGTCTTCTCAGTAGGGTAAAATGAAACAGGGCAGATCACATCTTCTCACCGGCCTTGGTCAACCTCTCGTCGCGTCCTGGCTGTTTCTGTCACTATCAGGCACGCTCCGTCCTGTGGGCCCTGCACCGCCCTCAGCAATGTTGGATCGACAGAGTGACGGCAGAAGAAGTCCGAACGTATCATATTGGCGTTGTCCCTGAATTTCCGCAAGCCCAGTCCTTCCTTGACAGGCGCGGGGCAACGCGGTCACGCGCGAGTGGCGCGCGCGGAACCACGTCAAAGAGGCATCGACACACGATCTTTTTACGAAAAGTTGCCTGAGACCAACAGAAACATTTGCAGGCGGCGGCAGCGAACAAGCGGCCAAGGCAGCTTGCAGCCCAGCACAACCGGTGGTCCCGGCACAGATTGCAGAAACCAAAATTCAACAAGGGGGCCAAAATTTTAAAGCCAAAATTTCAAACGAGGGCCCGCCGGAAGCAGCACCGCTGCACGCAAAGTTGGTTTGCCGGATCCTCAGCGAGACTGAGACCGAGGAAACATGAGAGTATTCAAAATACGTCCTGTTTGGACATCGCCTCCCTGTTCATTCGCCAGGGCTTTGGAACTTGGAACAGCTTGTTCCATCGACGCCAAACCCTCTGCTACCAGAGAACGGTGCAGCTCTGGTAGCACAACTGGCGCGGGCCTCAGCCCGCTAACCGCAAAATCAGAGAGCGGCAAGGGCGACGCGCACCGACTTGCGCCAACCGAGGCGCAAGCCCTGGGTGTCTCCAAGGATGCAGTCCAAGCGTGGCTCCCCGAGCTGCACGCTTGGCTGCTCCTGAAGCCGGCGCATCCGGCCCTGGATGCGCCAACGGCCGAAGCCGATGAAACTAGATGAAACACACAAAAAGAAAAAACAACAGACAGTCAACGCTCCGCCGTGCAGGCAACACGGGTGGCACGGCAGGCAGAAAAACGGGCTGAGAAAAAACGGTTGGAGGAGGAGAAACAAGCAGAGGCTCGGCCGGCGCTCGGCCGGCGGAAGAAGCTGTCCTGTCGCGAATGCAGCCAGCCAGCGGATGCGGCGCCGCGGCAGGCGAAACGAAAGAGCCAAGCTGAGAAGAACAAAGCCCGCAACAAGAGGCGCAGAGAGTTGCGCCAAGAAGCACGCCAAAGCCAGGACCCTGAGGCGCGCGGGAAAATCGGGAGAGCCCGAGACCCGACGCCTCGCCGACGCAAACGCCAGGTCCGGCTCGCACGCGTGGCCGCCCTGGAGAAAGACAGGAAAAGGAAAACCCAGAGCTCAGCTGCGCCCCCAAGAGAAAAAGAAAGCAAGGAAAGA